TATGTCGATAATTCACCTCGAAACAGTGGAAACCGAGTGAGACAAATATCGAAAAGAAGGCACAGGCGGTCTGTTTGTGCACCCGTTCCACACACTTTCAATGTCCTCCTTAGCACAGATCCCAATGAACGCCCCGTTTGAAAAGGGACCACATCAGCGTCCAAACAGTACGGAGGAGGAAACTGGGTGACATGGGGACGCACAAACAGTGGCTGAAAAGTGGACTTCATTCAAAAAACACTCGCGGCAAATACTTTGTTAAGGTGGTGGTGAAACAAGTGTGTTTAAATAAATAAAAACGAATAAAAACTAGAGTTCATTATGTTCGTTTTTATTTATTCATTATTTAATAATAAGTAATTTATAATATTATAGTACCGAAAAATAGTTTCAGATACAAAAATAATGCATTTTTATTCAAAAACAAATATTCTGATTAATTTAGGTGAAAACCCAATTATTTTACATAAATTTAAACAAAAAAACAAGACAATGATAATAAAACTCAAAAGTGTTGTTTTTATCGTTTTTTCTTTCTTCGGGTTTAATTAATTTTGAATGAATTAAACCCGATTATTTAATTAAACCCGGACTGGAATTAAACCCGGATTATACTGTAAACTGTAGTTCAAAAGTCTGTACCGCAGTATTTATAGAACTTCCTAAAGTCCCGTTTTTTATTTTTTATTTTTCCTAAAAAACAAAAAAACAAAAAATCGAAAGTACAGACTTAATTTTGAAAAAAATACCAATCCCGTTCAATTATTTTTGTACAATATCGGGAATTTATCGGAATATTAGCCAGCCTTTTCCAAAAAAACCGATCCCGTTATTTGATTTGACCACAACTCGATACTTCACAACACAAACTCAACGTTGTTGGTCAAATCATACAACGATAAACACGTTAATAAATTGGGATGTTGTTGTTTGTGTCAATTTGGAACTAAATATCAGTTTCGTTAGTTTTTCATTTTAATTAAAAACAAACATGTGGTTTTGTTCTTTAAACAAAAGAAAATGAAATAACGAGTTTTAAAGAAAAAATAAATAAGAGCAAACAATTAATAATTTTGTGTTTTGATATTTCAGTCATTGTTGTAACAACACCATCAGTATATCGATATTACGCGATACTTTAGCGCTTGTTATTTATTTTATTATTATAAATGAAGACTCGACTTTGAAAATTTTTGGCATTAAATTTATCAGCTTTTTATAATAAAATGCACTTTTGGGATCATTCACGTGTTTTTCAAAAACAAAAATCCCGTTATTTCAAATTTTATATGGAATTTTTTAATGCTTAAAAATTCTTCAAGTAAAAAAATAATTTTTGAAGACTGTTTTTCTCTTTTTTACTTGGAAAAAATAAGCGAATTCATTACAAAAAAACGATTCCCAAAAATAATAAACAAAATAAATGCAAAAAACGGGACACCCTAGTACAGACTTTTGAAACCCAGTTTACATTTAGGGGGTCTATAAACTAGTTGGGGAATGCTCCGAAACTTCGAAATTAAAACAATGTAAAACATAATCAATTAATATTTATTGTTATTATTCTAAACAACAAAAACCCTTGATTTTTTGTTTTCGCTCACTTTTTGGAACAATTTTTATTTATTTGTTTGCGGAAGGAAAATGGATTTATTAACTGGCCAATAATATGAACGCTTTTTGTAAGTCAAGTATTGTATTTTTTTCTTTTAAAAATAAATGTTTTACAAATATTGTTTTGTAACAAACCCGTTGCGAAGTGACGGGTAAAAATTTGCAATAATTTTTGTTTTTTGGAACGAAAAATGAAACCTCTGTTTTTGTATTTATCTAAAAAATAGTCATCGTTTCTCTTAACGATGATATTCATTTTAATATGTTTATTCATAAAGTGTTATATATAATACACGTGGGATAAAATTATAATATTATTGTTCGTAATAAAGAATAACAAGTAAATAATATGTTTTAAAAAGTTGAAAAACAAGTCCATGTAAAAATAATTTATACTCTTTATTATGTAATATTTGGAATTTCAAATTGTTGTAACAGATTCTGTGATAACATATCTTGAATAAAATAATCGAAATCAACAATGAGTAAATGATATTCTCTGTGAATATAATTTGTAAGTTGAATGAATTTTTTACATTTTAAAAAATAAAATGTAAAAAAATTTTACTGATAAAAAATATATATTTTTTATTTTTATAAATTAAAAATTAACTTTTATAAACATCGTTTTATATGAACAAGACTTTAAAACATTAAAATATTTATTTCAATAAAATGTTTTATAATAATCTTAAAAATCAAAACATATGAGCAAAAA